ATACCTTAATTAAAAAATACTTTATCACTAAAAAAAGCTAACCATCATTTGACCCTTCAGCAAGTCATAATCTTTTTGCTGCAGGCAGATCTTGTAAAAAACGCAGTATCTGCAAAGCACAATAAAGTGAAGCACAATAGGGGCCGGCCCCGGGGCCGAGCGGTTAGGTCTGCGCACTCTGCTTTGGCAGCCCAGGGTTTCGCAGATTCAGATCCCGGGCACAGACATGGCACTGTTCATCAGGCCACATTGAGGCGGCGTCCCACATGCCACAACTAGAAGGACCCACAACTAAAATATACAGCTAAGTACTATGTACTGGGGGGATTTGTGGAGAGAAAGCAGGAAAAAATAAATAAATAAGACTGGCAACAGTTAGCTCAGGTGCCAATCTTAAAAAAAAAACGCGAAGCACAATAAAACAAGGTATGCCTGTACAGTCAGCCCTCCATATCCATGGAAGAATCTGCATCTGCAGGTTCAATCAACTGCAGATCGAAAGGCCTACAATGCTGGTGTCTATCCTGAACATGTACAGGCTTTTTTTTTCCTTATCATTATTCCCTAAACAAGAGTATAACAACTTTTTACACAGCATTTACACTGTTTAAGATATTATAAGTAATCTAGAGATGATTTAAAGTATACAGGAGGATGTGCATAGGTTATATGCAAATACTATACCATTTTATATAAGGGGCTTGACCATCTGAGGATTTTGGTATCCACAGGGGTGCTTGACCAAACCCCTGTAAACACCAACAGATGACTGTATATGTGGGCAATAAAAGAAGGAAGAAAGTAATATGGAGCAGAAATAAGGGGAATAGAAAAAAATAGTGAAAATGGATGAAACCAAAGCTAGTTCTTCAAAAAAAGAATCTATTAAATTGATAAACCTCTAGGTACATTAATAAAGAAAAAAGGGGGGGAAAACTCACTTATCAACATGAGACATGCCATCACAACAGATCTCAAAGACACTGAAATGATAAGGGAATATATGACAATTTATGTCAATAAATTTAATATCTTGAACAACAAAATTTACCGAAAATGACTCAAGAAAAAATAAAGAATCTGAATTATAACTATTAAAGAAAGTGAGGGAGCCTGCCCGTGGCCAAGCGGTTAAGTTTGTGCACTCCGCTTCAGCAGCTCAGGGTTTCACTGGTTTGGATCCTGGGCGCGGACATGGCAACACTCATTAGGCTATGCTGAGGCAGCGTCCCACATGCCACAACTAGAAGGACCCACAACTAAAATATACAACTATGTACTGAGGGGATTTGGGAAGAAAAGGCAGGAAAAAAAAAAAGGAAGATTGGCAACAGTTGTTAGCTCAGGTGCCAATCTTAAAAAGAAAAAAAGGGGGGGCCAGCCCAGTGGTGGAGCGGTTAAGTTTGCACATTCCGCTTCTCAGCGGCCCCAGGTTCACCGGTTTGGATCCCAGGTGCGGACATGGCACCACCTGGCAAAAGCCATGCTGTGGCAGGCATCCCATATATAAAGTAGAGGAAGATGGACATGGATGTTAGCTCAGGGCCAGTCTTCCTCAGCAAAAAGAGAAGGATTGGCAGCAGTTAGCTCAGGGCTAATCTTCCTAAAAAAAAAAAAAAATTGAGTTCATAATTTACATTCTTCCCACAAAGAAAATTCCAGACCCAGATGCTCCACTGATAAATTCTATCAAACACCTAAGGAAGAAAAAATATCAATCCTACACAAACTCTTTAAGAAAATACAGAAGGAGGGAACATTTCCCAAGATAACAATATTCTTAATGGTGAAAGACCAAATGCTTTCCTCTTATGATCAGAAACAAGGGAAAAATGTCCACTCCCACCCCTTCTATTCAATACTGTACTCGTGATTCTAGCCAGTACAATGAGGAAGAAGGAGAAAAGCCATCCAGTTTGGAAAGGCAGAAATAAAACTGTCTTTATTCTCAGATTATACAATCAACTACATAAAAAATCCTGTGGAACCCATAAAAAAGCAACTAGTAGTAATAAGTAAGGTTGTAGGATACAAGATCAATATCCATAGTAGCAATGAACAACTGAAAACTGAACATTCAAAAAGCAATACTATTTCAATAGCATCAAAAGTAAGAAATAGGTGCTGGCCCTGTGACCGAGTGGTTAAGTTCGCGCGCTCCACTGCAGGCGGACCAGTGTTTCGTTGGTTCGAATCCTGGGCGTGGACATGGCACTGCTCATCAAGCCACGCTGAGGCAGCGTCCCACATGCCACAACTAGAAGGACTACAACGAAGAATATACAACTATGTACCGGGGGGCTTTGGGGAGAAAAAGGAAAAAATAAGATCTTTAAAAAAAAAAAAAGTAAGAAATATTTAGGAACAAATATAACAAAAGATGTACATGACCTGTACACCAAAAACTATAAAACGTTACTGAGAAAAATTAATGAAGTCCTAAATAAACAGAGAGACATACCAGGTTCATGGATGGGAAGATTCAAAGTTGTTAAGATCTCAATTCTCTCCCAAATTAATCTCTAAATTCAAGACAATCCCAATCAAAATCCCAGCAAACTTTTTTGTAGAAACTGACAAGCTGACCCTAAAACATATGTATATAGAAATACTAAGGATCTAGAGTATTCAAACAACAAGTCAGGAAGGAATCACACTACTTAATTTCAACTTATTTCAAAGCTATAATAATCAAGACACTGTGAAGTGCTTTATTAAATGATTAAACGTTTGTTTACAAAGAAAGTCACACAGATGTGAGGTAAAGACAGACAAAACATATCAATGGAACATTAGAGAGAGAACAGAAATACATTAGCAGATATATGGTCAATTGATTTTCAGTGAAAGTACCAAAGTACCAAATTCAGGGGGAAAAGAATAACCTTTTCAACAAATGGTTTCTAGAACAATTGAATAGCCACATGCAAAACAATGATCTCAACCCTTACCTCATATCATAAACAAAATTTAATTCAAAATAGGTCATAGACTTAAATGTAAAACCTAAAATTACAAAACATATAGGAAAAAAACATAGGAGAAAATCTTAGTGATCTTGAGTTTGGCAAAAGCTTCTTAAATATGAACAAAAAGGAAGAAATGTAAAAGACAAAAATTAATAAACTAGACTTGATAAAAATTAAAAACATATGCTCTCCAAAGGATACTGTTAAGAAAATAAGGCAATACTTTTTTATATAATCTAGATAAAACAAACACATAGATACACGTTTTCTAAATAATTGTATTTGTAATAACCAAAAACTGGAATAGGTGACTAGATAAACAAATTGTGGTATATATACACCCAGCAATAAAAAGAAATTAACTACTGATACGTACCAGAATGTAGATAAATCTTAAAAATATTATGGGAAGCAAAAGAAGTCATAGATAAAAGAGTTCATTTGAAACTCAAGATAAATCTATTATGACAGAAAGCAGATCAGTGGTTTCTTGGGAGCTCAAGTTTGTGGAGAGTGGAAGAGAAGAATTGACCTGGATGGAGTACAAAGGAACTTTCTGGGGTGACAGAAATGCTCTATATCTTCATTTTGGTGGGGTTTTATGCATATATGAATCTGTCAAAATGTACACACGTAATAAAATTTTATTATATAAACTAAACCTCAAAGATGATTTAAAAAAAGCAGCAGCAACAACAATCTAGGAAATCAGTAATCAGATGAACGGCACTGAGGCAGGGAGGATATGCAACCAAAATTCAACACCCAAGTATGATAAAAATTCTCAACCTAGCAACAGAAACTTCTTCAACTGAAAAAGAGCATCTACAAAACATGCAACTAGTATTATACTCAATGGCAAAAGATTAAATGTTTCCCTAAACAGGAACAAGGTAAGGATGTCCTTTCTCACTCAGTAATCACGACCACATTTCAAAGGAGTCCTTAGTAGTATCCAGGAGTACTCAACTATATTTTGCTGGTAAATTTGCTTTCTTTTTCTCTGAGATAACCACTTCATCCCTTTCCTCCATTTTTTCTTCAAATTTTTTTTTTTTGAGGAAGATTAGCCCTGAGCTAACTGCTACCAATCCTCCTCTTTTTGCTGAGGAAGACTGGCCCTGAGCTAACATCCATGTCCATCTTCCTCTGCTTTATAGGTGGGACACCCACTACAGCATGGCTTTTGCCAAGCGATGCCACGTCCACACCTGGGATCCGAACCAGTGAACCCCGGGCCACCAAGAAGCAGAACATGAGAACTTAACCACTGCGCCACCGGGCCTGCCCCTTTTCTTCAAATTTCTTAAACCCCTGTCCCTCTCTGAGCTGATAACTTAACCTTATATTTTATTTTTTGTAAGGTGAATCAATCATACAAACTCATCTTCCTGCCATCAAATCTCTCAAGAAGGTAGAGGCCCTATCCTGGCCATCACTCAAGAGAGACCAAGTTACCTGGCCATTTCAATACTCAGCCAGAACTTGGAGCATAAACAGTGGTCTGAACCTAGAAACTCTCTGCAACTGATACTTTTCTATCAACAACTACTACAATCAAAAGCAGAGACAAGGTCACCCCCGAAGTCTAGCATAAAGCCATAGTATGAAGAGAGAATTAATCCCCAAGCTTTGGTTCACCACCTTAGAGAATGGTTCTTCCCATTAAAAACATAGTAGTAAAAACTAGTAAGTAAGTTCAGCATGCTGTGCTTTGGCAGCCTGGGTTCACAGGTTCAGATCCCAGGAGCAAACCCACTCCACTTATCAGCCATGCTGTGGGGACGACCCACATATAAAGTAGAGGAAGACAGCCACAGATTTTAGCTCAGGGCTAATCTTCCTCAAGCCAAAAAATATATATATAGTTACACACATATATATAAAATTAAAAAAAAAAAAAAAATATATATATATATATATATATAAAACAATTACATTTGGCTTCTGACCAACAAATATATTAAATAGGAAAAGTAAAGAAAAACACAAAATACTACACATGCAATTTGCATGGCATTTGTTCCTTACCTGCTGGTGACGGGTGCTTGGAAAGGTGTACTGAACAGAGTGAGGAGGATAACGACTTTGTTCTGTGCTGAATGCTCCTTGGTTGGGAGGATAACCTGAACTTGACATTATCAGTAAAGAAGTCCTCACCAGGCTGTGAGATCAAGTCCAACAAACAATCATGTTTCTAGGAAACCACCTAAACAGAATAGGAAAAGAGCACTGATAAGAACTAAAGCATCAGGTGTACTTCCAATAAATTATAACTATAGCTACACAAATAAAACCACAATTACCAGTAAAAGCTTTCTCTCCTGTATTCTAAGAAGTTACTGAGGTTTGAAAAACATTAATGGGTCTTTTCCTTTAACTTAAAAAAGGCTCTTGAATATATCACAAATAATATCACTAGCTATATAACGTAAAAACATGTATATAAAATTTAAGCATGGTACCTGGCACATAGGAACTGCTCAATAAATGTCTGAGACACAAATATTATATTTTACAAAAATAAAATCTGTGGTTGTAAATTTTTGGGCGGTGAAAAAGTCAGTTGTTAAAAGGATTCATGAGTATTTATAAGGTAAGGATTTGTGTGGAGGAAATATTGTCTTTATTAAATGATTCTGCCCCAAAATGATAGCCTAGGAAGGGAATGGGGATGGGAAAGCTCTCAAGGAAGAAAAAAGTGAGCCTATCACTTCAAGGAAAACAAGTGTCAATATCTGTGAAAATCAGAATTTGGGGAAAACTTGTATCTGCCATGAGGAGCTTAACAGCTTCCCTACATTTAAACGCATTTCCAGCGAGATTGGTGATGATAATGACAGGTGAGTTTTTGATATTACATAATGAAATGTGCCAATATTTGAAATATCTGCATAACTCAATGAATTAATATTTTCCAAATGACCAACACAGAATATTACAAATACCCATATCCTCTACCATAGCAATTCCACTTCTAGGAATTCATTTGGTTGTTCAATACAGAGATACTCAAAGATGAATGCCTGAGAATGTTTCTTAGGGAAGTGTCCTTAATATCCAGTACAAGAGCTAAGAAAATTGTTATTAAAAAAGTTTAGCTAATGGGAAATTTTATGTACAGTATGCCACAGAAAGTCTATATAAATGAGAATATTTTATTTTATAAAAGTATGATTTGTGCATACCACTATTATCTCATTTTTCACGTGTGTCATATCGTCACAAGATTTTAAGAACAAAGGCAGAAATGTCGTATTCCCAACAAATATTTATTGAGAAGTACACCACTATGTACCAATACTGTTCTAAACATTGGCATAAAATGGTGACCAAGATATGCCATCTTATTGGGAGGTGACATAGACAATAAACAAATAATCAGGAAACAGTATGACAAAGTGCTATAAATAAAACAGGATGGGAGAAGAGGGGGAAGGGAGACAGTTCCGATGGGATGATCGTAAGAAAGCCAATCTTAGCTGGGATGACCATACACCCTGATTTCCTGAAACAGACCAATTTACAGTTATTGTCCCAGTGTAATTATTAATTACGGTCGATTTCCTTCTCAGGACTGTCCCAGCTTGGGTAATAAATTTTATTCTAAGATGACTTTTGTGCCAAAGCTTGAAAGATGAGAAAAAAGAGCTAGGCAGCCTTGAAGAGACAAGAACACTCCATAGAGAGAAACTACAGAAGCCCTAAAGCAAAGCAAGGAGGCTTAAAGAGAGTGAGGGAGAAAGTGGAAGAAGGCAAGGCCTGAGAACGGGCAAGAGGAGATCATGGGGGGTTTTGCTCATGTATGTCTGGAAAATGAAAAGCTCTTGTGCATTCTGAACATTAATCCCTTTTCCACCTTTATGTGACATTTTCTTCCAGAATTCATAACTTGTTTAATCTTTACTTTCTCTACTCTAAATTAAAAAAATATTCTTCTACATTCTCCTCTTAACTTCTTAGTTTTATTTATTTTCCACATTTAGCTCCTTAATCACCTAAAATTTTTTTCTAAAACATGGTAAACTAGGGGTCTAGTTTTATTTTCTTTACTAACTAATAGTTAATTATCCCAACAAAACCCTTATTGTACATGTCTTCCTCCCAACAGTGATCGGAAATGCCATCCTCATTACAACCCAGAAATTTCAGTATATGCCCTAGAAAAACTCACATACTTACATACAAAAGGATATTTATCACAGCAATGCAATAGACAAATTTGAAGACAACCTAAATTCCATAATGTGGTATTTTCATATGATACAATATCATACAGCAGTTGTAATGAATAAGCTCCAGCTATATGTTTCAAAACATATAAACCTCAAAAAAAGTAAAGTTGAGTGAGAGCAATTTACAAAATAATGCTAACATATGGTAGAAATACAGAAAATAACACTATATATTATTTATATATACACATAATAAAAGCATAAACAGGCGCCGGCCCAGTGGCACAGCAGTTACGTTTGCACGTTCAGCTTCTCAGCAGCCCGGGGTTGGCCGGTTCAGATCCTGGGTGCGGACACAGCACCGCTTGGCAAAAGCCATGCTGTGGTAGGCATCCCACGTATAAAGTAGAGGAAGATGGGCATGGATGTTAGCTCAGGGCCAGTCTTCCTCAGCAAAAAGAGGAAGATTGGCAGCAGTTAGCTCAGGGCTAATCTTCCTCAAAAAAAAAAAAAAATAAACAAATAAAAGCATAAACATACATAAGATATACGTCTACTTTAGGATAATATGTAGTTACATCTAAGGAAGGAAGGAAAATGATCTAGGGGAGGGGTACAATCTTTAATACTTTATTTCTTAAAAGAAAAACTGAAGCAAGTATGATATAATACTAAGTTTTCTGAAACACAGATGGTAGGTACACGGACATTTGTTATACTACTATCTGCAAGTTTCTATGGGCCTGAAATAGTTCATAAAGAAAAACTTATATAATGTTATAAACCAATGTTAGCTCAATTTTTTAAAATATTTAAAAAAGAAAGAGAAAGAGAGAGAGGGAGGCTGGCCCAATGTGTAGTGGTCAAGTCCGTACACTCCGCTTTGGCAGCCCAGAGTTCACGGGTTCAGATCCCAGGCACAGCCCTACACATCACTTGTCAGGCCACGCTGTGGCAGCATCCCACATGCAAAGTAGAGGAGAAGTGGCACAGATGTCAGCTCAGGGACAATCTTCCTCGAGCAAAAAGGGGAAGATTGGCAACAAATGTTAGCTCAGGGTAAATCTTCCTCAGCAAAAAACAACAAAAGAAAAAGAAAAGTCACCTTTATTATAAAGTATATCTCCACATATCCAGGATTCTAGACTCACTAATTTGATTGCTTGTCTTTTCCTAGGGGGATGCCACACTTTTTAAGTTATTACAAACATTATGAGACTTTATATCTAGTAGGGCAAGCTTCCCCTCACTGTGCTTAGTTGCTGCTACTTTGAAAGGCTTCAGAGCTATTCCAGCAGGTTTTCTCTTTCACATAAATTTCAGAGCCAGCTTGTTAGGCTCCATAAAAAACTCTGGATGAGAACATACAAATGAATTCACAGACTGACTAAAGGGAGAACAACAGATACCTTTATACTATTGAGTATTCTCATCCTAAAACATGATTATATATGTTTATGTTTTAGGATGGGAAATAAAATATGTGTATAATTAAGATGGGAATATTTTATGTATATATAATGGGGAATATTATATATATGATGGAAAAAATATGTGTAGAACATATATAATTCCTATCTTAATTACATATAAAAATACGTAAAATTCCCATAAGATTATACACACACACACACACACACACACACACATCTGTACATATTTTTTAGGATAGGAATTACTTATATACATAATTAAGATAAAAATTATAGTACAGTAAGCCCCCTGTGTCCACAGGTTCTGCAGCCACAGATTCAACGAACCACAGATGGAAAGGCCTATGATGGCTGCATCTGTACTGAACATGTACACACTTTTTTTTCTTGTCATTATTCCCTAAACAATACAGTATAGCAACTATTTACATAGCATTTACACTGTATTAGGTATTGTAAGTAATCTAGAGATGATTTAAAGTATACAGGACTATGTGCACAGGTTACATGTATACAAATACTATGCCATTTTACAAAGGGACTTGAGCATCGGGGGATTTTGGTATTCACTGGGGGTCCTGGAACCAAGCCTCACCCCCAACACCGAGGGACAACTGTGTGTTTGTGTGTGTACAATCCCCAAACATTTAAGATTTTATGTCTTAGTAAAGTTTTAGTTGTCTTTGTTTCTATCATTTTAAGGGATTTGGGAAGACAGAAAATTCAAAAAAGTTCAGTGTGCCAACTTGATCCAATTTCCCCATTTTAGTCAATAAACTCTTTACCCAGCTAGGCTTAGAAAATAAAGTTTTCTAGAGAATTATCATTCAATTTCATCTTAAAATGAAACAGAGAAAAAACTTTTAAAATTTTATGTGGTACTATGTAACACGGAAATATTTTAAATAAACATACATACCATCCTTACTACTCATTTCACTTTTCCTTTTGTAGGTCAAGGGAAGAGTCAGAAGACAGAACCAGCTGTCTCCCCAGACTGTTTCCTGCCTGCTCCCTCCCAAGGCCCACGTCATGCAAGTCAGAAAATCTAAGAATTGAGAGGTTTTGAGATTACCCAACTAACAGTGATTTTACAGATCTGGACTCTGAAGCACAGAGAAGTCCAATAACTTCTCCAACATCACAAAACTGTCAGTGGCAAAAAGGAGAGAAGCTAGTGTTTTCTGTGATGCTTTGATGCTTTCTCGGCAAGCAGTGAACTAATACTCTGAGGAGCTGAGATGCTCAGTAGGACCGCACATTAAAACCACGTGGGCAGCCTCCTATACACCTATACTTGCTCCAGGCAGAAGGCGAAAAGCCAACATGTGGGAGTTTTGTTGGTGGTGGTGTTTGTTTTGTTTTGTTTTGGGAGACAGGTATTGTTGGTACGATTTAAGAGTTTTAAAAAGTATCATAGACTACAAACAGAAGAGTCTCCTTCTCACCCTTGTCCTCCAGCTGCTACCCAGTTGCCTCCCAGAAGGCAACAGAAGTTACTAGTTTCTAGAGTATCCTTTAGAAATAACCTGCACACACACCCACACACACACACTTTACCCCCTACATAAATAGTAGCATAGTAGATACATACTGTTCTA